TTTGAATTTGGAGTCGATCTAGCGATGTCCGTTCGCCCGTCTGTCTGTCTAGTTGATGCACAAGATAACTCATGAAGGAAGTATCCGATTTGATTAAAGCTTGGTACATCGTAATATTATTATCAAACCGAGATTGTGTTCGGAGATGGGTTATATCGGTCCACACGTTCTGGTACCTCCCCCCCCCCCCCAAAAGGCCAAAACATTCGTTATAACATATTAATGCACAGAAAGGGAAATGAAAATCCGATTTTGCTCCCCCTTTGCAAATCCTAATATTTGCCTCATTGCAAAGTCAGGTGCGAAAATGGACAATATCAGAAAGGGTAGCATTTTTGATTAATTATAGTTCTTATAAATTGTGATATAAGTGTTCGATTGTCTTCGAATTACACACATTAAAATACATCAAAATACTTTAATTGACCAAAGTCTGGTTTGAAGATGGAATATATTGGTTCACTCCTTCGGGTACCACCCCCACAACGGGTCAAATTTTTGAATACCATGAAGCTCATAGAACGCGAAATTAACATCCGATTCCATTCAAACTTTGTACATCTCAATATTTTTATTAGCACAAGCTCTTTTATAAAAATGGTAGAGATCGCACCTCACCTTCTGGTACCTCCTCCACAACGGTTCAAAATTTGGAATAATTATATCTCTAATAAAAAGAGAAATAAGCATTCGACTTTCTTAAAATTTCTCAATATTTCTATTAACACAAGATCTGGTGTGAAGATGAGGTATATCTATCTACTCCTTCTGATACCTTCCGCACAGAGGCATCAAATTTTTAATAACAAAACGCCCTAAAATGCGAAATAAGCGTCCGATTCTTTTTAGACATCTCAATATCTCTACTAACACAAGATATGCTGTGTAGATGATAGCAATCGGCCTACCCCTTGTGGTACCTCCCATACACACAATCACAATTCTAAATACTTAACTCTTTCATAACTTGTGAAACAAGTCAGCGATTCCATTGAAGCCTGGTGCAAATGACAATAGAGCCCAATCTCCCTCTTCGATTGTCAACTCTATTCTCTATCCGGCTCGAAGGACCAATGAAAATGAGAATAAATTCCAATCACCCTCGTCGATTGTCAATTCTATTCTGGATCCTGCTCGGAGGATCAATGTTTTTATACCCTACAACACTATGTGTTGGGGGTATTATAAGTTTGATTGGGCCAAAAATTATGTAACACCTCGAAATATTGGTTTCCCACATAGGAAAGTATGTATGGATCTTCCTATCTCGCCGAGCTGAGTCGATCTAGCTATGTATGTCCGTCCGTCCGTCCGTCCATGTTAATTTGTAATCACTCTACAGGTCGCAATTATGGTCCGATCTTCACAAAATTTAGAATGGAGGTGGGGCTAGGGTCACAATAGAACCCCATTTATTTTGGAGATGATCGCATAATATTTAATGGACCAAAACTGAAAAAATTCTTGATTTTGTAGTTGCTCTACAGGTCGCAATTATAGACCAATCGACGCAAAAGTTTGCATGGGGCTAGAGCTTATTTCTGGGCAGAAGACTTCCAATTTTCATGGTCATCGGGTAATATTTAGTGGGTGAAATAGGCCACAACATTTGTGTTAAATAAAAGTTATTTTTTTGATTAAACCGCGAATATATTTAATCCCGACGAAATCACAAATAGACGAACAGGTCAATTCTGACCGTTACGTATATGCCGATAGTAAATATATCGGTTATATATAGCGAAATATATACAATGTGTATATACAAAGGAAGGGGATGTTAGTTAAAATGCTTATATCTTTAGAATGGCTGGACCGATTTTGACAAATTTTGTCAATTCAGAATGCCCTCTTGAAATAAAATAGTAAAATCTACATTTTTTTTATTTTTCATATTTTTATCGCATGCGATTTTTTCAATTTGACTTATAATATTTTGTAATATTTTTTCACCTTACAACACAGGTTGGGGATCTTATATAAGTATTGCAAATATCGTTCGATCCTCACGAAAATTTTCACAAGGGTAGCGTTGGGCTCAGAAGGGCTAGGCCTATTTTTTTAAAAGATGTCCGCACAAATTAGGGTTGAAATGGACCAACAACTAAAAATGTTCCAGATTTTGCAGCCATTATAAAGGTCACAAATGGAAACCAAAGGACACGAAATCTCGCATAAAGTTAGAGTTTAGGACAGCGGGTACATAGACCACTAATTTTGTGTGAAAAAATACCAGCATTAATTACAGGCGATATCCGAAATACACAAAAGGCGAACTTCTGGCTTTTTTATGCTGATTTCGTTGACGAATATAGCCAAATATCGTAGACAAGCAAGTCATATAGATGAGGTACGGAGGGGCTTCTTGGTTGTGGAGATGATTGCAAGATATTTAGGGGTTCAAATTAACCAAAAACAGAAATGTTTTTGCGATCACACAATTGAAGCCAATCGACACGCCTGAGAAGAGAGTTAACGACAGAGAACAATTCTGGCACTTTGGATGACCATGCGATTATATTTAGCTGTAAAATGGATTACAACAACTATCAGTCCGACTGAGTGCATAAATATTGGGCAAATGTCCCTTGTCAAAATGCTAATTTTGACAGCAAAATCTTAAAAAATGGATTTGGGCATGAGGGGACTTCTAACATATTGTAGTGTTGTAGGGTATCATATGGTCGGCCCCGCACGGCTATAGCCTTTGCTTACTTGTTAATAATGAGAACCGAATCCAATCTCTCTCTTCGATTGTCAATTTTATTCTCTATTTAGAGCAATGTAAAGCGAGAAAGGAATACAACCGCTTCGCTTGGAGTGGATTCAATTCTAGTTATACACTCCATCATAGTATAGAGGGTATGTTAAGTTTATCATTCATAAATCACTCTAGCTTCCCAACGAAATGAAGTAGGTTTATAAAATTTTACTTAATTGTGCATTATGTCTGCAGGACTTTTGGTATTGAAAATGGGTCATGTAGGTCCACGTTTTGGTATAGCCCCCATGTAATGGTACCTCCCTTTTTTCGGTATTTTGGTGATTTAAGCAGCATTATTCACCGGAAATGTTTGAATGAAATTTGGAATTTGAAGTTTGTAATGGGTACTACAGCCTACGACAGAAAATTGTCTGCGCAGGTTCACGTCTTCGTATAGCACTCATATAATGGTACCCCCGATATTCGGTATTTAGATGATTTTATCGACATTATTCACTGGAACTACCTACATTATTTAAATTAAAACTACCTATCACTTTTCATACTTTTTTGTACCTATTTCCAAAACATACAGGGTTGCCCATATTCGACGGACCCATCTGGCAAAGCCATAACTTTTGACAGAGATGTCACATCGCTTAATGACATACCGCGTTTGAAGCGTTAGTCCAAGCAGATTTTTACCATGAACCAATACACGCCACGCGAGCGCTCTGAAATAGTTGAAATTTACATTCAACAGAAGAAGTCAATTGTGAAAACTCAACGTGCTTTTAAAACATTAAAAAATGTGAGAAGTGCGCCTTCTAAGAACACCATTAAGCGTTTATACGAAAAATTTTCGACTGGTAAGGCTCTTTCCAATCCGAAGAGGCCATATAAAAGTCGACCAAGGCGATCGGCCGAGAATATCGCTGCCGTACGAGCCAGTGTTGAGAGGTCCCCAAGAACATCCCAAAAACGCCGTTCCCAGCAGTTGGGCATGGCTCGGTCCACTTTACAACGGATTATTCGCATTGATTTTCATTTGTTCCCGTACAAAATTCAATTGACGCAAAGAAAATTGCCTGCGGACAAGCCTCGTCGATTGGAATGGGCCCAAAGAGTCATCGAAATGGCCGAAGATGACGAGCAATTTTGGAACAAAATTATCATGTCCGATGAAACCCATTTCACATTGAATGGGACCGTAAATAAGCAAAATTGCCGTTTTTACGCCACTGAAAATCCGCAGGAGATTCAAGAAGTGCCTCTTCATGACGAAAAAGTCACGAAAACGGTCATTGGGCCGTTTTTCTTCCAAAATGAAAATGACCATGCTATTACCATCAATCAGGAGCGTTATCGCGACATGATGACCAATTTTGTGATGCCAATTATTCGTCGAAAGCGTATGAGGCAGTTCTGATTTCAACAAGACGGCGCTCCACCGCACACAAGTCGCATAACAATCGATTTTCTGAAGAATTTGTTTCCGGGCCGTTTGATGTCGAAAAGTGATGATTTGGACTGGCCACCGCGTTCTGCCGATATGACGCCGCCTGACCTCTTCTTGTGGGGATATTTGAAGTCAAAGGTTTACGTTAACAAGCCAAGGACCGTAGAAGAGCTCAAGGACAACATTCGAGAAGAAATAGCCGCTATTCCGGCCGAAATGTTGGCAAAAACGATGGAAAATGCAGCAAAAAGGGCACAATACGTCATCAACGCCAGAGGCGGCCATTTGATAGATATCATATTCAAAAATTGATGTAAACAAATCTACTTGGAACAAATTAAATGATTAACATTGCCAACCGCCAAATTTTTATTTTTTTCTTTGATTAAAAAAAAAAAAAAAAAAAAAAAACATGGGTCCGTCGAATATGGGCAACCCTGTATATCGTCCAAAAGGTGATTGCAAAGCCAAATTGTAAACTTTCGACTCACTCCCTTATCCAAATACGTATTTCCAAAACCGTTTACAAAATTCCAATGGGTTCGACATTTACTACTTTTAGTAGGCATTTAGCACGATTCTTCAAAAACCCAGTCTTATCTCACCCCTACTCCCAAATTTTAAGATTCTAGCTTCAGCCGTTTTGCCTGGGCTTTAATGACCCATTATTTACCCATTAATACATGGAGATATAAGAAATATATTTTCACCAACTATAACCACCCATGTTATTAAACTTCCCTTCCATTTCTGATTCCTCCATTCTTTACTTCTTAAGAACTCATTGATTCTTAAAAAAAAAATAACAAAAACAAACAAAAAATGCTTTCCACTTACCTTTCAGATACTGTTCATTTTGCGCTATGACTTTTTCGGCATTTTTACGCGCCTGAAAAAACCACTCCGATGTATTGCCCAAATAATGATATTCCATTGATAGGTCCTTTGCCAGTATTGCACCCAAATCTGGTGGCGGTAGACGATAGGCAAATGGACAAAACAGCCCCGCCTGCGATGGATGTTCATTCCAATCGAAACAGTGGCCAGCAGCAAAGATGTCATCGTCGAACTCGACCATGGACAGGACGGAGGCATGCAACAGATTTACATCGGCATGGGCAGCTGATGAAGTCATTTTGAAAATTCTGCAGGGGAAAAAAAGCAAAAAGAGAGAAATAAGTGAAATGACCATAAAAACCAGTGGCAACAATACAAACAAAAAATCCAACGAATAAATAGAGTGTAGAACGGAAAAGCCGATGTAGTATGCATTCGCTATGCAGATAGGCGGATAAAGGAAATGGCTTTATGATGTTTTTTTCATTTGTATTGCCATTTTACGTTCCGAGGAAATCGGTTTACTGCATGTGTAAGTTTTCGCATTGCCATTTGCATGAATTAAAGTTTTCGTTTTTTTCTATGGAGATACGCATGAAAATGAAGCAACAAAAACTGCAGCGAATACCATAATTTAAATAACTTTTATTTACTCAGACCCAAGAACACCGTGGGTATTTTTAACGATAAGTAATAGCGGACTTACGCTTTTCTCACTATTCTAACACCCAGCATTGCAGGGTGGAAGAATTGCTGTTCTTCTATTGAGGGAAGATTCAGTGTTTTTCTATAGATAAAAGACCTTCTGGACTTCTATGGATAGAAGAATTCTGAAAACATCAACTAGGCTTTAAAAAATAGCAGTCATCCTGCTCTTTCAAAAATACATTTCCTCTTAGATTTCTGAAGATTAAATAATATCTGGTCTCTTAATTACTAGAAACTTCCTCATTATTCTCTCCACCATACATTGCAGGGCATATTAACTTTGTAATTCCGTTTGTCGAACTACACATGTTAGACCTAACAGCCTAAATTTCTAAGTCAATTTAGAGATGCTCTCTTTCGAACGAATTGAAAGAAAATACAAAACATTTTGCACACATGTATATTTTCCAGTAGGCAGGTTATGTCCGAGAATGGGCAATGTCGGTCCATAATTTCGAATAGCCCCATATAATGATACCTCCTGATATTCGGTATTTTGATGATTTTTTAATTCATATGGAGTTGTAAAAAATTTCTTGTTTTAAGTCCGTAGTGGGTACTACAGTGAATGCAGGTCCAAGTCTTCATATGGCCCACATAAGGATACATACCGATATTCGAAATTTGGATGATTTTAGCGACATTATTCAGTGGAATGGTGTAGACCACACACAGCGTGATGTAAAAAACTGCAACAAAGTGAAAGGCCATAACTTTTACATTTTTTTTTTAATTTTATTGAATGAAAGCAAAAAATGTCGGATATAGCATCAAATTTTAGAAAAAGTTTAGATTTGTTCTAATTGGTCACCTTTGGCACGAATTATGACCTTCAATGGCCAATGAAACCATCACACGCTGCCCGAATGTTGTTCTGCGGGTTTTTGGACCATTCCCGACGAAGCGCTTGCCTGAGGTGATCGACACTTTGGTGTTTTTTAGTGCCAACATTGCTTTCCAAAATACTCCAGATTTTGGTGACCATTGAGCGCTGGAAATTAAGCGAGGAATCTCATTTTGTAACCATTCTTGGGTGGCGCTAGCTGAGTGCGATGGTGCTGAATCCTGTTGGAATGTCCAAGGTCTGCGGCCAAAATGTTTGCGTGCCCAAGGCTTTAATTAACCCTCCAGAATATTTTCGCCACAATATTCGGCATTTATTCTGATGCCACGGGCGATTAATACTAGCGGAGAGCGACCATTGGCTGTTACGGCGGCCTACACAATCACTATGGCCGGGAATATTGGGATATGTTCAGCTCACGAGCCATTTTTCGGCCACTCCGACGCGGGTTTCGTCCAAGTCGCTTCTTTACATTTCGAACCATTTCTGCTGATGTTGCTGTTTTCTTTCGTCCACTTCCTCGACGTCGGGCTACGCTACCAGTATCACGATAACGAGCGATAATGGAGTGCTTTAACGATAGCCAAATATATAGAAATCGCACTATCAGGCTTGAATTCCATCGCGAATAACATTTTTTCTGGAAAATGCTCACCAAAATGCTTTTGAACGCTTGTTAACAACATAACAAGCTGTCACTGGCATAATTTTAAGAGGTGTCGAACGAGTGGCTTAGAAATGACAGCAGTCTGAAGTTGGTTGCAGTTTTTTCATCTCAACCTTCCTTTGTTCGGTATTTTGATAATATTTGCCGACATTATTCACCGAAATAGATTCAAATTTCTTATTTGAAGTTCGGAATTGGTCCCACAGCCCATGACAAAAATTACTTATGTAGGGCCACGTCTTCGTTTAGCCTCCATACAACGGTTTTCATTTGAGCGGTATTTTTCGATTTAAATTTGGAGTCGATCTGGGTGTGTTCGTCCATCTGTCTGGTTAGCTGTTGCCCACGATTACTCTCGAATGGAGTATTCGATTGGATCCAAATTTGGTACATCGTAATATTTTTGTCAAACATGGATTGAGTTGGGAGATGGGCAATATCGGTCCACTCTTCTTCCTAATTCACAGAAAGAGAAAGGATAATCCGATTTTGCTTCCATTTTGCAAATCCTTGTATATCCATCAGTGTTTAGTCAGATACAAAAATGGACAATATTGATCCACTCCATCAAGTACCTCCCCCCAAAGGGTCAAATAAAATAACACACCTCACAGTGTTTTTATTAGCGCAAATTCTGGTGCGGAGATGTGAAGTATCAGCACCCTCCTCCACATGGTGTCAAGCTCTTGAATATTCATGAAGCTCATAAAACACGAAATTAACATGCAATTTCATTCAAACTCGCAAAATTTCAGTATTTCTCATAAAACAAGATATGTTATAACGATGGCAGAGATCGGACTATTCCTTTTGGTACCTCCCAAAGAGCCAAAATTTTCAATGACAAAAACCGATCATAAAATACGACACAAGCTTGCGGTTCTCTTCAAATTTCACACATCCCATTATGTCTAGTAACACAACATCTGCTGTTAAAATGTGAAATATTAGTCCCTTCCTCCTGGTACCTCCCCTCCCCCACAAAGGTTTAAAATTTAGAATAACCATGAAGCTCATAAAACGCGAAATTAAAATCCGATTTCATTTAGACTTGGTGCATCTCAATATTTCCATCAACACGAGATTTGTTATAAAGATTGTAGAGAGCAGACCATTTCTTCTGGTACCTCCCCCACATAGGGTTGAAGATTTGGAAAAACAACACGCTCCAGGAAAGCGAAATAAGCATCCCACTCTTTTATTTAATTTTACACATACAAACATTTTTGCTTACACAAGATCTGTTGTGAAGATAATATATGGCTGTTATCTCACCCACAAAGGGTCACAATTTTCAATATTTTTATCTGTCAGAATTTGCGAAACAATTCAGCGATTCTTTACAACTACCTATATTTAAATATTTTTCTCAAGTAAAAACCTGGGGTGAATATGGAATCTATGATTTCGCATAAAATTGAATATAAATGTTCGATTTTCTTGTAATGTTGCCCATACCAATATTTTTATCTGTATTGGATGAAGTATGAAGATGGAATACTTCGCTATTATATCTGGAGCCTTACGATATTTCAAAATTTTCACATATCTCATAAAAAGTGAAGGAAGTACCCAACATAGTCCAAACCTGTCTATGATATTTATATCATATTTATTTAGCTCCAATACGAAATGGATAGTATTGGCCTATTCCTTTGGAACCTACTCCATAAAGGGTCAACAGTTTGAATATTCATAACACAAGTCAAATATATTTAAATAATCGATCATTTGATATTTATACCCTACAAGTTTGATTGGACCAAAAATTATGTAACACCTCGAAATATTGGTTTCCCACATAGGAAAGTATATATATGGGTCTTCCTAGCTCGCCGAGCTGAGTCGATCTAGCTATGTATGTCCGTCCGTCCGTCTGACCGTCTGTCCATGTTAATTTGTAATCAAGCTACAGGTCGCAATTATGAACCGATCCTCAGGAAATTGAAAATGGAGGTGGGGTTAGGGTCAGAATATAACCCTATTGTTTTTGGAGCGGCCATCGGACAATAATTAGCGGGTAAAATAGACCCTAACTTTTATGTAAGAAAATAGGAAAGTTTCCACTAAACCGCGAATATTTTTAATCCCAGCCAAATCGCAAATACATTAAAAGATCACTTCTGACCATTACAGTGATTCTAATAGCCAATAAATCGGATATATAGCAAAATAGATACAATACATATGTAAAAGAATTGATCTTATTAATTCTGCTTATAAATCAAGCTCCGCTGGGCCAATTTTCACAATTCCCACCAATTCGGAATGGTCTCTTTCAAGAAAAGGATAAAATTTAAGAAAATCGCGGGATAATATACCAATAAACAAGTTAAAAAGTATCAGTCGGTATTGCCGACAGATATATACCCTCAGCCTATGTTCGATTAAATAATCGAAATATATATGACTAGTGTTACAATTATTCAAACGTTAGACCCTCTATAGAGCCGGTTCCGAAGAAATGGGCCAATATTGTCCATTTTGTATCAGACCCAAAAATATGATATAAATATTCCAACGTTCCTGGTATGGATTATATTGACTCACTCCTTCACTTTTTGTGAGATATGTAATAATTTTTAGAAAATGTTAAAATATGCGTGATGTACCATATAGAGTCTACCGGAATATTCCATTTTTATACTTCATCTGACACAAATAAAAAATATTGAGCTAAATTACAAGAAAGGATATTTATGTCCAATTTTATGCGAAATCATAAATTCCTATAAATGTCAGATTCATATCAGGCTTCTTATTGAGAGAAATATTTGAGCATAGCAAGTAGTAAAGAATTGCTAAATTGTTTCGAATGTTATGACAGATAAAATTATTTAAAATTGACCCTTTGTGGTTGAAGTACCAGAAGGGATTCGCAGATATATATCGACTTCATAACAGATCTTGTGTTAGCAAAAAAATTTTTATGTGTGAAATTTGAAGAGATTTGGATGCTTATTTCGCTTTATTTGAGCGTTTTGTTTTTCAAAATCTTGAACCCTAAGTATGGGGAAGGTACCAGAAGAAATGGTTCGATCTATACCACCTTTATAACAGATCTTGTTTTGATAGAAATATTGAGATGT